ATATATAGTTTTACGCGCAATTATAAACTAGCAATAGTACTGAAGCACGCATCTTTTACCGGCGGATATTTTTGTAGTCCTGTGTTCGCCCACCCCCTCTCTGGCCCAGAAACATGCTTCCGTCGTCTGTTTCTTTGTACTAAAAAGTAGCTCAATGGAAATAAACACCCATAAATACATGTAGTTATGTATTTTAGTTCATGCAGGCGTTTGAGATGCTGTATTTCTGATTTCATACTATTTACAACTGTAATAAACACGCTAACAGAGTATAGCTGTTTAATTTATCTTAGTAGGCTATGACGCTACATATGGCCAGAGAGAGACTAGAGAGTGAGTGAGCCACAACTTATTATTAGCATAAATATTTTATAACATCATAAACAATATTTACATAAATAGTTCGAAGTTTCATTTTAGAAAATGTGCCTTTTTGTTTTTGCAAATAAATATGAAGTCCATACACGTGTACTTTTCAGAAAAAAAAACATATTTAATTCAGAGACTGTCTCACTACTGGGGAGAACAGCGTGTGATTCAAAATCTTTGACGAACCCACTGCGCACACTCATATCATATTAGCTGAGTATCAAATAGTAAAAGTACATTTCTATAACAGAGTTCAAGGTCTAGCTTAGTGCAATATAGCAAAGATGTCTGGGCGCGTATCCTCGGCCAAGTCTGGCAACAAAAAGACTGGACAGACACACCAGAACAAGCTCACGTTCCAACATGACTCGAAAAGTCGTAAGTCCAATCGCATCTTCAAGATGAACAACTCGGGTGTTTGTCCGCGATGCCACGAACAGATAGAATGGCGCAAGAAGTTTAAGAAATACAAGCCCTTGAAGACAGAGAAGAGATGTACGGGATGTGGCGAGAAGAAGATCACACGTGCGTACCACGTGCTGTGTAAGGATTGCGCGCATAGCAAGGGCGTGTGTGCGAAGTGTACACAGAGCGGCGAGGTGATCAACAAGGCAACGGAAGCAGAGGAATTGGTAAGTGGTTTTTATGTATTAGACCGGTATATGGTTTTTTATTTTGGATTTTTCTGTAGGTGTCTATTGTGCCCTCGTAAACGAAGCCCTGTCGATGCAAAATCTACACGCTTTTATAGATAGTACTCACATTGTATTCTTTGATTTTTCTATACACTAAAAGTTGCATACGTCTTTTTTTGCAATTTAAAGTACTATACTATCGGAGCGAAGGTGTACCTATCTTATATGTTATTTCTATAGCAATCCCAGTGAAAAGCAGATCACCTATTTAATTCGTACTATCGCTGACTGGGCACGAGTCTCAATTTTCATACAATGTATTTATGTATAGCTAAAACCTATACACATAATATACATGTATATGTATATATATATATACATGTATGTATGTAAATATGTATATGTATATATTTGCTTGACATGACTTACAATAGGCGAGGCCATTATGGCATCAATCTGTTTCTTAACAGTACTCGCACAAGTATAGTGTTTTTTTATGAAGAAGTGATACAAATATCCGGAGGCGCCAGTATTAGTCCATGAATAGGCTTCGCTGAAGAACATGCTGAATGTTGTTTGTGTGTGTCGGTCTATGACCTTATTCATGTTTAAAAGTGTGCTCGCATATCCGCATAGCTTTTCTGTCTATAATGCTTTGTGTCTTCGCAACAAGCAATGTCACGTTTTAGTGCAATCGCATACACGCACGCTTCATATCGGAGCATGTCTCTACAATAAAACAACATTTTCACTTCTATATAGTCACCACAAGCAGTTACTTCCTACCTTTGTGCATATTAGAAGTTGCAATACGTTTGGTTGCTATGATGTCATGTCGAATTCCTCGTTCCGTATACCAGAGATCATGCACGGCTCGCGCCAGCGACTCTTATGACGAACGAATTTTTTCTGAGCTACCTACATATTACATGCAGTTTAACTTTTCTATACGTTGTTAGCTGGCCTGTTACTAGGGTGTATTTTGTGGTCGCAAAGTTCACAGAGGCATCGCTGAAGTATTCAGTGAGGTTTACTCTTTTGTAGAATAGTGCAACAGTATGCCTACCAGAGTATTACATTGATCACACACCAAATCTGCTCACTTTTCTGTATCGCATATGGATATACTAATGTACATCATTGCACATCTTCCTATAGACCCACTCATTATATACATGCCTATATGTACCTATAGATTTATTCTTGTTCCTGGAATTGTTGGTACTTCATCGCATACACACCTTAACAATAACTACGCCCACACCTTAACAATAACTACGCCCGTTCCCTTAACAATAACTACGCCCGTTCCCTTATAGGCGGCTGAGATTGCACTCCAGCAGCGACTAGCACTGCTGTCTGAACGAGAGCGTCGGTCATATTTCCGTGCGGAAGAGAGAGGCGAAGACATGTCCAACTACTTCAAGGATGGACGGTCCAAGCAGGAATCGGATGGGGAGGAAGAGCCTGAAGATGACGAACCCGCTAAAAACCAGGTTTTAGATGGTAAAAACCAGGGGTCGGATGGCGTGACCCAGGGGTCGGCCGGTGAGCATGCGTGCAAGAAAGACTTGCAGATGGACGATGTGCAGCAGGCGATTGTTGAGGTGGAGGTAGAGGGGACCAAGGAGGGCTGAGAGACGTCGACAAGACCAACACTTACAGTCTCCGTGTTGGTGTATATGTCAACCAAATACATACCCCTTGATATAGTTATCTGTGTGAAGGGTCTTGGGTACGGTCGAGTCGCACATGTCAGGCCAAGCAGGAGGAGTTACGATGTGCCATGTGTATGTACAGATTTTTAACTGATATCGTATACCACATATACCTGGGTGGAGTATCCGTGTGTATGCATGTGCCATCCATACACATGTATCAATACGGTTCTAGCGACGGTACTAGTCTGTGTGCATCTGATATGACATCATGCACGTACATGTCTATCCCTGGCTCGTGCATGCTACACTTAGTTCGGCGGTTCTCGGTAGCTCGCCCGGATAAGTGAATGAGATCTAGCCATGTGGTGAGGGGGGCCTTATTAGTTCATGTAGCGAACTTCACATAGTTAAGTGCGCCGGACATGCAAGTGCGTGCCCAGTGTGCCCGTTTACGTTTGGATGGTGCGTGGTTGTACGAAGACGCGCACAAGTGTGTGGTCTAGGTGCATGTAAATATATATACATATATAAACCGTACATACCCGTCGAGTGTATGAGCGAGTCCGCTGTGTCGTGCTGACTGGGGAAGTCGCGCACATTCAAAGAAATAAAAGATTGTAGAAGTCATATTTGTTGACATTTTGAATACTCGAAAGCAAGCCCTTGACGAAATTGTATTTATAGCCATACCAAGTGCGCTGATGGTGGAAGTTATTTATTCCACTTGAAATGCTACGTTTTTAACTAGTTTTATTGTCGTCAGATCGCAAATTTTAACCCTGCTGTGATTGTCTGCTATCACGGGTTTCGCCATTAGTGTACTGGAAGGATGCTTGTCATCAAGTACTTGATAAGGAATGCAATGGTATGTGGCTGTAGCCGAGAAAGCTTCTATATATGATTATAATCATAAGGGTGCATATATACTAGATTAAATAAAATCATATGGAAGCTCCAGTCCGTCTAGAAATCTCGATAATAAGCTGTAATCGAGACCCTGGTCATGAATCCAGATGGTTGCCAGATTTCGGGACCGCTAAAACATCTCGATAAGAAGCTGTAAAAGCGTCCGTTGGAGATGCAAAATTTCGGTCCAGCTAGGACGTCTCAATATTAGGCTAAATTCAAGACCCTTGTCCTGAATTTAGGTTTGGAGATACCATTTTTTGGGGGTCCGAGCACTAAATTGAGCCTTTTAGCGGGATAATCGGTGAAGATCTAGGCCACCATACACCGGAAGTTGTTACTCCGCACCAGGTACCTTCCATCCTGTTGCTTGGACTGGAATTGAACCAAAAATCCGAAAGATATGTTAAGATAAATTGCAATTAAAAACCCCATATAAGAAGAACAAGAACAGATAAAACAATACCCCGATGTGTTAAGATTTGTATATGCTTGAATATGCTTACACGTATATAGACACCGATATGCGAACAATGCTCGGCCGGTGGCGTACAGAACCGGGTGGTAGCATCTCTATAGCACATCAGTCTTCAGTTGTACTATGTGTGTGTTGGTGGGGTGTGTATGGTTCGGTACATATGTACATAAGTACATTTGTACTTGTGTACAAACGCCTATACACTTCTAGATGCACCGTATGCCAAGAGATATAAAACTCACAGTGCAACTGTGAGCACAGGCTTACCATTATGAAGGTCTCTCCGAAGGGGAACGGCACATCCTCTGTGTCGTACTTTACTTTACCCACCACAGTCACCAACAGAGTGCTCTCATCTCCGCACACACCTATCAGTAAATGACAGTAATAAAAAAATCGAGATTTGAAAAATAAGGATTGTGTATGCAATGGTCGAATACGGATGCTTTTAAAAGTCACATTCAGGTCAGGCCTAGCGTGAGTGGTTGACGCTCGTCGACTGACAGAAACAAAGAGACTGTCCCAACTTTGCTAACATTAGTATTGCAGTCCACCCCAATTTATGCACATTCTACATAGCGCGTATCCGTGCCCAAGATACTAAGTCCAGCACTATATGGTAATGAGATTAGTATTGAGATTACTCTATGGTGTTGGGACGATGGTTGTACTTGCGCAACCCATCAGTATCAGCGGGAACACAAAAACTAGTGTATGCCACCGCACTGGCTGTACGTCATAACGCCTACTCACACACCACATTGCAGTACGCACTACGAGTGTTGGTAGGTATAGCTGCTCATGGACTGCCTTTCTGACAAAGCAAGTACGAAACTTTCAACGGGACAATGTCAGTCACAGACATTTGAGGGCTCATTCCAATCGAGACATGTGCACACAGCCTAACGGTCATGTTCTTTAGCGGTGGCGCTATCACCTAGCCGTGAGTATCATCTGTGGATACGGGATTATATAAAGACTACCAGAGCGTGCCCGACATATAGTAACGCGTGTATTAAACGTATCGCAACACATACTTGGAGCCGGTTGACAGTCGACATCCGTTATAACGGTCCTCGTTGACGGGACCTTCTCCATTAGAAATGCCTGTGAGCATGAGCACAAAAGACGGGTTAGCTATAGGCCACGACTCGGGACAGGCAAGATGATACCATGGATGCATACTGTGACACTATAACCATTGGTAATGCCCATGGAAACCACCAGTGACTCGACTACAAATGCAACATGGGGACAGGGTGTGATACGTGATACACGCAGCATGTACTGGCTAAACCAAACAAACGATTGACAGCCAGGTGGTACTTTTACATAAACGGACAGGATCAGATCAAGACGCATCTCCTGTATGGTTTGATTGTACGTAGCAGCAACAGGATGTTAATGTCATGGATGATCAGTATGCGATCCCTCTCCTGTGATCCCTCTCCTGTATGACTACAGCTACCCACCTGAATATCCTTCTTGCCGCTCAGGGCGTGCCCGTTCCATATGAGCGTTGCATCTTCGTTGTACAGATGCCCGACTTTGTGTCTCTCCGTGTCAAACATACTGTAGAAGGTCGTTGAGAACTTATCACCGGCTTCGCATGATTGAAGTACCAGTTTCTTCTTGATATCGGGATCCATACCGGTAGATGAGCATGCACGTGCTTGAATTAATTGGGATCTGCTATATATGAAGTTGATTATTGCGTTATTGAGATTGAAAATAGAAATGATCCTGCAGTACCAAAGTGCGGCCACTACGTTCAAAGTAAGTATCAATACTACTCTTTATGCCAGTAGACAAGAGGAAACAACCTGCGTGCGTTTGTATATATATATATATATATGTATATATATATATATATATATATGTGTGTGTATGTGTGTGTGTGTGTGTGTGTGTG